AACATCTTAGGCTTCCCATATTCCAAACACAAACTTTCAAATATGTGACGTCACAGCCCAAAATTACCTCCTTCCCTAGCCCGCGCGGGGCTGGGGGGGGTAAATTTTACCCCCCCTCGCGAATTTTTGCAATATCTCAAAAACGGCGGCGCGCAGCGCCGCCAAACTTTCAGTACCTTTTCTTACATCAATTTGACACGTTCCCTGAAAATTTGAGCGAAATCCGTCGGAAAATTTTTGAGAAATTGACGTTTTAGTGACGTCATGTTCGCCATTTTCGCCTCAAAAACGGCAAAAGTTCAAACGCCGCTAACATCTTCATTTTTAAAGGAATCAAGACGTAACAAAAAAGGATATACGTAATTTTACTTTGTCTATCAAATGGCTATCTCCGTTTTTTGAAAATTTTGGATTTTGGCCCAATTTTTTTCAAAAAACTGACTTTTTTGGGAAAATAGTTATAAAATCCAAAATTTTAAGTGTATCAAAAAAACCGGAATATATGTCAGAGAAGTGGTCAATGTGCACCTACATACCAAGTTTTAGAAGAATCGGTTCAAAAATGTGGGAGTTATTCAAAATTTTATGACGTCACGACACACAAAAATTTTGAAAAATGACTTTTTTGGGAAGTTCTAGACCTCGTACGGAAACAAAAATAGCACCATTCGATTCGCCGTGAAAAACTGCATCAGATAGACACCCTTTTAGGCCTTAACAACCAACTTCAAAGTTTGACCTCACTTGACCTGACCATGACCTGACCTCGACCTGAAATTTATCCAGAGGTGGTCCATATCACTTATTGAGTGTGCCTATTGAATTCTATGAGTAAAATGACCCATAAAACATGTGTCGCACATGCCCTTTTCTATATTTTGTTTTTGGTGACCTGACCTGACCTGACCTGACCTTGAACTTGACCTCTGAATGATATTGTATGCAACGAGTATTGTCTTGGTAGCCTAAGAACACGTTTTGGGCCATCAGTCTCAGTCCATGACTCCATTCTTCGGCAACTACGGTGCAAGGCCGATACTGTAGGAACTTGCAATTTGTACCCTTGACCTGACCTCGACCTTGACCTCAAATTTAAAATTAAGTGCATGTTTTTAGTTGTTCGTGATGAGATCTTTCGATTGGCGTTTGAATTTTTTAAATCGGACCATTAGTTCGGGAGATAACAGGGGGGGTAAAATTTACCCCCCCCCCCCCAGCCCCGCGCGTTCGGCTGGAGACCCCAGCCCCGCGCGGGCTAGGCCACATTACTGTCATAAAGCTGATTCTTTTTACTCTGTAGGCACCACAACAAAGTTCAGACCAAGTTTTAAGCGATTTTTCAACGAACAAACCCATTTAAATCAGAATGACTAAACGAGGTGACGTCACACTAACGGTCGCTCCATGTTGAAGAGAGGGCCTTGCGCAAGGCCCATTTTCAAATGAAGGGAACGAATTTCTTCAACACCAAGAGGCCGCGGGGGTTGCAACCTAAATAGATAGTGGTTTCTGAACCTCGCCGCAAACTTGGCTATCTCAACTCAAACCCCATGTTAAAGGTGGGATAGTCCCTTTAACAAGACAGTCTTCCGCTTTACGCTAAGAACATTAATTTCCAGGTTCGGCTCTTTGTTTCACCGCAAGAGGGGGTGGGGCGTCTTTCCCACCCTAGGCATCTTACCCCACTCTCCCCTAATCACTCTGAATCAGCCGCCGGCTAACTTGTGGACTAACTTGGAGTCATCACTCGACACCGTAGTAGCCACCTGTCATGAGAACGTTCCAGGTATTTCATAGTCTAATCAGACTGTACTGGAGGAAGCTTGCTTCATTTGCTTTGACTAATTCAAATATTAATTCAAATATTACGCTGTTTTTTTTTTCTATCTAAGGCGTGCTATCAGTTCAGATGCAACAGGTGTAAAGCATATGTTTTCAAGATGCTGATTCAAAACCAAGGCCAACGGTTGGAGGTCACCGCACTGTCTCGTCGCCAACAGGCTCCAATTCCATTCTACACTGGAAGTACAAAATCGGGACAGTGCACTCAGCGCACGTCGGTGGCACGGACAGCGGGGCCACCACAGGGGCTCAGAGCATGCATTGCTCATGACCTGGGCGATTCATGTGACCTGTCGGGTCATAGGTCACGCCCCGCGGGTGCCTATTGCCGCCCATCGGCGCCTCCGGCACCCACCCCAGCCACCTGACTGTGCCGAGACCCGCCCTGCCAGGAGTGCAGGCCGCCCCACAGGGACCAGCAACTCAGAGCAAAGCAATTTTTGGAAGTGGTCTCACCACAGGCCGGCGGCACTGCGAGCTTGTCTGGAATTCTGAGCGGCACAAAATGGCAACTTGTCGAGCGCGGCCGAATGGGCCTGTGGAAAGTGTCACGCTCACATGTGCTGGAGAGGTAAGAGGTGGTCTGGCAGACAAATGGCCGCGGTGTTGGTGCTGATGGCAGGGGAGCCCTGATGTTTACCGAGTGGAGCTCGTGAAAATCACTCCGGTGACCCGCTGGCCCGAAAGCGAATGGGGTCGCGGAATGATGTCATTCCTTCTTGAAGGTGAGATGATTGGTTCGGTGACCTGAATTCGGATGAATGAATTTCAAATCGTCAAAATGTAATACCTAACAGTGTGATGCTAGTGATGCTTGTTGATATGTAATATTTATAACGCCTCTGAGATATCTCGCTGGACATTTTGTCATTCTTGGTAACATTTAGATTACTTTCTTGCCTTTGACCTCTGTGTAATTGAATCTAGGTGTGTAAAAAGCTGGGATGTTTTCCAGAACCAATCCCAGCAACCACTGCGCTATCATGTGGACTGTCCTTAGATCAGGTGACACAAGCTGCATGACGCCCACCTAGGTGCAGGACGGGGATTGCTAATTTGCATTAGCGGAGTGGAATGGGTGGCCACCCAACACTGACGGCCACCGCTTAATTAAACAGAAGTACCGTTGGGTAAATAAGACACCGTTCTAGATAAAGCGTTATGTCCTTACAGACCAGACCGTTCAAGGGAAGTGTTATCCGTAGAGGAGACCGGGGCAAAGCGGCTAGTCTTACTGAACAGGTGCGCTACGTTGTCGCGCTCACTCACAATCACATCAGTTGATACTAATCCAATAGGTTGATCAAGCGAAGGATCTAGTCAGTAGGCATAATTGAATATAAACACTACAGTCTTATCCCTATAACCTGTTGCAAGAGATATCAATATTGCAAGAGATATTACCTATAATTAAGCTGCTGTTAAGATGTTCCCATTCTGGTCTGGAATCACTTATCGATTAGAATATCGCTATTAAATGTCATTAAAAGTTCTTTTGAAGGAAAGCGAGTTTAATAAAATACCAAAGTATGTCCCTTCTCCTAGGCATGTGAATAATGCTATATTATTAATATATTTTGTTTCATCCAGTATAATTTAGATGCCTATTCCAATTAGATAAGTGCTGCTAATGACAGATATACCTGTAAAGTATTGGTACGACATAGACTTATCTATGTACGTACCATCCAGTGTACGTACCATCCAGTGTCAGTGCATCTGAGACGCGGCCCTACGCGTTACGCAGTGATTAAGAGGGATAAGTTTCACGAGTTAACTTTATAATGGAAGATCCAGATTATAAAGTCAGTGAGCGATCGCGGTGCTCTCGGAATTAGGTACGTAACACAAAGCGGATTCATGTCGGAGTTCTTACGCTATGTGTAGCAGAGCAGCCGTCAGACATACAGTACTCGGAACCATGTAGGTATGAAGCATTAAGCAATTGTGACAAGTGCTGTCGAATCTCTGAAGCATAAATCTATTGGTTAAAGTCAGCATCAAGTACTATTTTGATAGCACTTTAGAGGCACATCTGATACCATATGCTCAGCCTGCATTTCAGTGTAGCGTATCGGTATGCTTTCGTTGCCCTCTACGCACCAAATATGCACGCACACACCTCTCGCCACGTCAGTGGACAGGACCGTGACTGGCCGGTGTCTAGGGGTGTGCCGGAAGGAACCCGTGTTTTCTCACCTCAACGACCTGACAGACCACACTGCACGGCCAGGACCGGTGCCGTCGGCGCTGCGGTGGCGGAACCAGCCGCCGCGACGCCCGAGGTCATCGAGCAATTACTTAGTCACCCTGCGCGGCCGTGTCATAGAGCGGGTGGCCGCACTGGCCTCCCGTCCCCTCCCCAGCAGCCCCCCAGCAGCTGCTCCTGGGAGCGGGGCACTGACGTCACGCCACGATTATCGACTCCCATTTTCCGGCTGTCAGCTGCAGTTACATACTTCAGCGATCACCACCGCCGATATACATACATTGTACATAGCAGCTGATTTGGTTTTGAAAACAAGCTTATATGATATAGCTACGCTGAACTGTTTTGGCTTAAGCTATCATTTAGCCCTCGCCCTGGCAGGGCATTTTTCATAACACGGCCTGGCAGGGGGGGTCGATGCGACCCCCCCCCCTCGCGATTGGCTCCTATGGCACCTAGAAACACCAAATTTGGTAGGTAGGTGGGCCCCCTGGAGTTCTCGCCCCTGTGCAAATTTGGTTGCTCTAGGTCAATATTTAGGGGGGTTTTGGGGGGTAAAAATGTAAAAATTTCGCTAAAAACAGGTCAAAAGTTTTTCGCTCATAACTTTTGATCTAATTAAGATAGAGCAAAAAGAAAAGCACTAGTGAACTCAGCACGTCAAGGTGCGTCGAATGATATACTTTTTAGCTTGCTTAAGTGTACTTAAAGTTTTTCTTAAGTTTTAAGTAAACTTAAATTAATAAATTAAGTTCAAATTAACCAAATTGCATCATATTGCATATCATTCGATTCGGCTGATCACCAGGAACACAATGATACCATTTTTTAAGCTCTAGCGTCATTATGTGCCAAGTTATTGGCAAAAACGTCATTTGACCTCAGTTGACCTCATTTGACCTGACCCATGGATAAGTTGTAGTAAACAAATGCGCAGAAATGTCTATTCTCAAGCGGGGACCGAGCCGCCACACGCCTCCCACTCCGGCCGACTGGCCCCCGGCTCGCCGGCGCCGTGCGCCCCGGCCAGCGGCCCTGAACTCGAGCCGTCGGTCAGCTCTAGTTGCCGGCGCCGGCCGACAGCCACAGCTGTGGGCCACGGCCTGTGCCAGTTCTATCAGACACATGCATAACATATAGCATACAATACTAACTACAGCCCCTCCTGATCCTCAAGGATCACTAACGCTAGTATCTGCATGGGGCGTACCCAGTTCTTCATACTGAAGGCGATCAGGTGGCCGCCGCGAGCGGTCACTGCGTCGGACCTCACTCTCACTCACCGTCTCTCCTTCTACCCCCACATCAGGTGATGAACCCTCTCCCCCATCGGCTAACAGTGGCAAATTGACATATTCCACCACGTCATCGGGCGGCGAGCCAGGCGAAGTTGCCTCAGACACATCAGGACAGGTACGCAAAACATCACCACATGACCGGAGGTCCCTGACATGCCACGGTACCCCGTCGACTTCCACCACCTGTGGTGATACCGTGGCGGTGACAGCACCGCGTCCAGACTGTTCCGTGCACCGTGACCCGGGCTTCCTGACCCACACGGCGTCCCCAACTCGGTACGACGCGGGCTCGCGTGATAGATCGTCTCGGTCCTCCTCACCGGTTCCACCGGGTGGGCGCACTCGGTCACGCACGGGGTACGCATACACTGCGCTCGCAGGTGATGATGACGCCGATACACCATCGCGAGGCGTCACATTATATAAATGAACGGCCTCAGACACGGAGCACTGTTTACGAGCAGCGATGACCTTCACCGAACGGTGGTTTCGCTCCACGATAGAGTTTCCACTCGGTCGGTGAACGGCCCTGAATCGGAGCTGTACGCCCCATCCTGCCGCGAACACAGAGAACTCTCTGCTGCGGAACGCGGTGTCATTGTCTGCCAGAAGTTCGACTGGGGCACCGCGCTCACAAAATATCTCCTCCAGCTGCTCCGTCACACTGGCCGAGTCCGTTCGGCGCAGTGGGCGCCACACACAAAACCGCGACGGACCGCAGTCAATGATTGACAAGTACGACCGGTTTCGGTAGTGCGTAATGTCTATGGCGAGTCTGGTCCAGGTTTCCTTCACCCCCAGTTCCCCGCCACGCCACTTGACGGGTGCCGGGTCCACTGACCGACACACGTCACAGTCTGACACCACCTTTTGCACCTGGCTCCGCGTGATACTCGGCGATATGTCACGACGGGCAAAGTACAGAGTTCGCCGAATACCGGGGTGTCCAGCTTTGGCATGAACCTCGCTGATGGCCGACGACTCGCGCGTGCCGACAGTGTCCTCCACAACACCCGCATCAGCCCCGTGAGCGTCATCTTCTCCCGCATCAGTCACTGGCCCGACCACCGCAGCGGCGACTGCGGGCTCGCCTACACTCGGGTCGTCTCCGCGTACCCACTCGACCGGCACCCGCGTCAGGCAGTCCGCTCTGTTGTGGGCGGTCGGCACCAGGGTCACTGACAGGTCGATGCCGAACTCGTCCACCAGCTGCTTCACCATGTCGATGCGCCGCCTGATGATCATCTCACCGTGGGCCTTGGTCTTCAGACGGGAGCGCCCGCTCAGAGCGTCGCTTATCCATCTGTGCACGGTAGCAGAGTCAGTCCGGAGGTCCAGTCGACGCATTTCCCAGGCGATGGCGAGATTGATGCCCCGCACGGCGGCGTCCAGCTCCGCCATGTTGATGTGTGCTGTCTCGTCACGTCGGAGCCAGCAGCCGTCCTCGATTGGGTCTCCAGTCGGCGTCTCCAGCACCACTCCGGCCGCTATCGAGCTGGCATCCGTCCACACCACCGCGTGATCGCCTTCAACATGCCACCGTCCGTGAGCCGGGTCGTCGCGGGCCAGCCTACTGGCCACATAGTCAACCTGCTGACGCAGGGTGGCATCGTCTGTTGGCTGGTCCCAACTGTTCGTCACCGCGTTAGCCCGCCGCTTTAACCAGGCGGCGGCGGGCCGAAGCCAGCCGCACACGGGCAGGTGTGCCACCAGGCGACCACACCAGGCGAAGACGCTCCGCCGCGTCAGCGTGACAGGTGGTGGCCCTACGACGTTGTCACGCGCCCAGCGCAGCACTCCACCCACCGCCCGCACGTGCAAACCAAGCAGGCGTGCACCGGCAGCCGCTCGCTCCGGCGGCTTGCACTCTAGCCCGTACTGAGCGAAGTGGGCCACCACACGTTCAGCGCTGACGATGTCCTCATTCACACACAAGTCGTCCATGTACGGCAGCACCGCACTCTCCATCGCCGGGTCCTGCTGTAGCACGGCGCGCACTACAGCCTTCATGATAAGTGGGGCCACATTCAAACCAAATCCGACCCTAGAGAGTGCATACCGCTGACCGTTCACCATCACAGTCTGGAACGGCCACAGGCTCTGCTCCGTCCTCAGCTGAAGATATGCTCTCTTCAGGTCGACGATAGCGACATTGGTGCCGTGCCGCCGCCATTTCCTGAGGGTGGCGGCACACACGTCCGCATCGGCGGTGTGGGGCACCACATGACTGTTGAGCTCTCGATAATCCAAGACGGGTCGCACTTTGGTCTTGTTTTTCTGCTGAACAGCCATGAGCGGGATCAGTCCTCGCGGTGGTCCGTACAAATCCTCATCATACGGCACCAACCATTCGTTTTCAATCCAGGACTGAAGTTCAGCGTCGAACTCTTCCTTAGCGTCCTCCGGTACGGAATACTCCGCTACGCCGTTGCCGAGGCACTCTGGTGCCGCACCGTCACGCCATTTCCAGGCTACAGTCCACGCTCGAGCCACAGGATCGAACTGAGCCCCGAAATCCGACGCCTCCACAGTCAGCTGGTCACACAGCCGACTCACCGCACCACAAAACCTCACCTCTCGCTGCGACCCAATCAGCACACCACCTAGTGCTGATATTCCACTGACACCAATCACCATCTCCGCGCCAAGCGGCTTCTCTCTCATCACCAGTACGTCGACCACCGCGGCCTGACCCGAGGCCGTTTCCACAGCCACCTTTCCAACTCCGTCACAGTAGAAAGGATCCCCACTCATCGATGTTACCCGGACTCGCTCCTTCCGCCAGTCGCTGCAGTACGGTGCGAACACCAGGTTCTCCGTACAGCCGCTGTCCACTATCGCCCTGCATTCCCTGCCTGCCACTCGCAGCTGCGCCATCGGCAGAACCTCTGCTACTGCCGCCCTGGAGAGGACGCCGGCGCTGATGCGGCCTCTCCCGCGCTGTTTCCCGGCTGCTGACGCTGAGGGCAGCCAACGGAGATGTGGCCGATCGCTCGGCAGATCCAGCATCGGCGTGGTCCACGCACCGCCGTTGACGGCTGCACGTCAGCCGACCGATCTTCACGCCGCCCCGGCCCAGGCGCCACCGGCCGCCGGCTCCTTTCCTCTGCCGCCCAGCTCCACCCCTCTGTCCGAGGGGCTCGCGCCGCCGCTGCCAGCGGACCAGCCGCCGCCGCCGCCGCCACCTGAGCTGCTGCCACCGGAGCCGCCGCCGGCCGTTGGTCGCTCAGCACTGAGCGGGCCCGAGCGAGTACATCCTCCAGGCTGAGGCCCTCAGCCCTGGATCCAGCGCGGATAGCTTGTCTGGTGCTGTCGGGTAGTCCAGAGACAAATGCGCAGATGAGCGCCTTGTCTGGCACACCCCCGAAAAGCACCGCTAGCCGCCGTAGATCAGAGAGGAACACATCCGGTGATTCGCCGGTCCGCAGGCGTCGGCAGCAGAAGGCGTCATACGCAGCGAAGCTGTCCATGGCGAACGCCGCATACAGCGTCTCTTGCACTTCCACCAGCGAGCCGCGGCTGGCTGCCGGCATCTGTGACCATACGGTGAATGCCCCGCCTGCCAGCCGCAGCGGTACCACAGACATGAGCGAGACACCACGCAGTTCACAGAGGAGCCTCGCACGCTCCCACCACTCCACCACGTCAGTCGTGCCGTCATATTCAGGCACCAATCGAGTGTCAAACGGTTGGTTCGGTAGCCCTGCGCTGCTGGTCACTGGCACAGACACCGTCCCTGGTCCATTGTCCGGGCCGCTCCTCTCCGCGTTATCACCCGTCACTGACATGGTCACGCGTCTTAAAGGTCAAAGCCGAAATAGCTTGTAGTAAACAAATGCGCAGAAATGTCTATTCCCAAGCGGGGACCGAGCCGCCACACGCCTCCTACTCCGGCCGACTGGCCCCCGGCTCGCCGGCGCCGTGCGCCCCGGCCAGCGGCCCTGAACTCGAGCCGTCGGTCAGCTCTAGTTGCCGGCGCCGGCCGACAGCCACAGCTGTGGGCCACGGCCTGTGCCAGTTCTATCAGACACATGCATAACATATAGCATACAATACTAACTACATAAGTACACCAAACAAAGAAGCACCAAGTGACCTGCTGTTAAGTAATGTGGTTTCAAAGCACAAAAGTGATAGAACGAAGCGGATATCTCCAGTATTTTCCGAATTTAGTATTTTCCCATAGGCTTAACATTACGACGTAGTGACCTCTAACTGACCTCAGGTCAGTGACCTCAGAAAACTCGAACTATATGTTATACAACTCGGTGAACTTAGCACATCCTGAAAGTTTAAAGGAAATCAGTCCAAAACTGTGAGTTGGACAGGCGCAAAAAGAAAATTGAAATTTGACCATGACCTTGTACCGGTTTTTCTGACCTGGTGACCTGACCCAAGGTCACCCGGACCTGAAATTTTCAGGTCATATGTAAAAAGTTGCCCCATAGGCTGTGCCAAATTTGGCGGCGCTGCGCGCCGCCGTTTTTACGCTATCTTCGAAAAACCTTAGGGGGGGGGTCGCATCGACCCCCCCCTGCCAGGGCGAGGGTTAGGAGTTACTTATTTCCAGCCTTCGGTTAAGCCGTTTATCCTCTTCACTCCTTTGATGGTCTAACCCTTTCTCTGTTGATCGTACCTTTCTGGGGAGCTAAGTTTTTGCGCCCTGAAGATTGACGTATTTCAATTATCTCTTCTACTTCTTTGTCAGGCCTCGCAGTCACAGCTGCGCCCATTTTCAATTTGACTTTGTTATCGTTGGCTGTTAATCTCGAGACTGGCTTACTGGAAACATCACAGAAGCTCTTCATAAGCACGTTTGCACATATCTAACATGGTGTAATAAATAACTTATTTAATAAATACTTAACTTATAAGCAACTTATAAATAACTTATCAGCAAACTTATAAATAAATAGTAATTTATTACACTATGTATCTAACTATGATGGGTGATTGACCCTGAAAGTTGTCAGTTTCAATGCAGATGTATGAAATTCGAAGCAAAGTTATTATACGACTCCAGCTGGAGACCATGTAAAAATAAAAATAAGTGTGGAAAAATAAAAATAAGTGTGGAAACGGTTAAGGCAACAATTAAAGAAAATTGATAACTTACAAATTTAAGGCATTGAATGACCTGGTGAGCATAAACGCGCGGCTACAAAACAAAGCTGACAACTGTTAAATAAGATAGAAAATAACTGAGGTTGTCTAGGACCATAGCAAACATTCATGAAACCGGCAATATGAAGCACCAAATACTGAACAGTTAACCCGGCAGGCGGTGGGCCTCCCGGCCACCTTCCGCGCGGTGTGGGGGGGGGGGCATTTTTTTGCCCCCCCCCCGTATCTCCGAAACTACTGGACGGATCCGGAAAATTCAAACGGCGTTCGATAGCCCTGCCAAATTTGTGGAAAGAAACCAAATTTCATTGACCTCGGGGTCACCGATGACGTCACAGGTCAGGTCAAAGATAAAATGTTTCACCGTTCACGGGGCTTCTAGAGAAAGCGCTGTACCACCGAGTAAAACGCATTTTGTCGAAAATCAGCGATAGGGCGTCAGTTGTCTAGTACATATGTTGCTATTAGAGGTCACTGGTCATACCAGGTCACGTCACAGGTCAGGTCACCAAAGGTCACCAAGGGTCACCACATGAACCCAACTTTACTAAGGTTGTGCGATACATGTTTTATGGCCAGTTTTTCATTTCCAACTCAATGGTGTTGGTTATAAGACCATCAGGTACGGTTTAGGTCACTTTCTGGTGGAGGTCAGGTCAAGGTCAGGTCAAAAAAGGTCAAATTTCAAAGTTGATATTTTTGCATAAAATGGGTATTGATTCGATGCAGCTCGTCACGGGGAGTCTAATGGTGGTCTTTGTTTTGCGCTACGAGGTCTATGCTAAAAATTGAGTTTGAAAATTTGACGTCATCAATTTTGAACAGTTTTTTCGCTATAACTTGGCCAAAAAAAGAGGCATCGATCTCAAATTTGGTATGTAGATAGAAGGCGGTAGGGACTATCACATATATTCCGGTTTTTCGAAATTAAAAAAAAAAAGAAGGATTTTTTGGCTATTATATTCAAAAAATCTATTTTTTGATTTTTGGGGGTCAAAATCCAAAAAATTCGAAAAATCGAAATAGCTGTTTTGTAGCCCACTTGATCCCACACCTTTTATGTCTGAAACATTTTTCTGTATCTCTAAAGCTGTAGGCCTGACAGCTCTTCCCGCGAAACCTTTTTTTGGGTCGAAAATGGCAGAATTGACGTCACTCTGACGTCATTAGCGGCCAACCTATCATAGCCTTTGGAAAAAAATTTTGGTCACCATGTGCGCTAGCTACTCCCGGGAGGGTACTGAAAGTTTGGTGACGATCGGCGCAGTGGTTCCCGAGATATATCGAAAAAACTAAAGAGGGGGGGGGGCAAAAAATGCCCCCCCACCGCCTGGAAGGTTAACCCTCGCCCGCACATGCCATTTTCCCATCCTAGAACGCACATGGGGGGGGGGGGTTGCCCCCCCCGCGCCATTTCGTTCCTGTTGGAGATAGAGCTTAGCGGTAAAGACCAAAAAGATTCTTTGGGAAGAGACGAATCCAATGATACCCAGTTTTACCTTCTCAGGTCAGTCATTGACCTTCCAGGTCAGGTCAAACTAAAAAATGTTGCTGTTTTAGGTCACCGTTGGATATCAAGCGCGCTGCTTGTCATATACCGATGACGATGCCGTTTTCTGGTGCCAAGCCAGCTAGAACCTCTTTGTCACACTACCCGACCAGGTTTTTGCTGCTGAGGTCATCTCAGGTCAAGTTAGGTCAAGGTCAATAATATGTGTTTGTATGTCTGTGTGTGTCTGTGTGTATACTGATGTGTGCACCGATTGTTTATGTGTCCATATTACATGAAATCATGATCTGAGAAGCTTTTACCAAAAATGTAGTCAAAAAATTTCAAAAAAAGTAAATTCAGCTTGCCTAAAACGCAATTATCTTAGATGACCTAGGTTGACCTTGACCCTGACCTTGACCTCTGTACATCGTCGAACAACATGTTTCATGATAGGTGGGAGGTAGGATTGGCATAAAAGGCCGAAATCAAGGTGTTAAAAGCTCACAAGGCCCATAGCCAACGCAAGATGTTGAGAATTGGCCATTTGGGTCATGACATGACCTGAAAAACAAGGTCATATCTCCGAAACCAAAAACCACAGCAACTTGAAATTTTCAGTGGACATCAGGAAAGGATAGAGGAGCAGCTATACGAAAAATCAGCCTTCTAGCTCTAAAAATGTTGAGTGCAGAGCAGAAAGACTACCTGGGGGGGTGGGGTGGCAACCACCCCTCCCCCCATGTGCGGGCGAGGGTTAAGGTTTGATACCGAAGTTAACTTCCTCGAGCATTCTCATCAGGCTCAAAACTCAAGGAGCATTATTATTTTCTACGATAACGTCAGGTACCTAAGTCATGTAAAATGAAATCAAGGAAGACTTGCCGATCACTAGAATCGATGCATGTTTGTTTAAGTTTTTTCGTTTCGGGCAATCAGAAGACGACATGAGAATTTCAACATTTGTCTACCTGACTTTCCCTTATGCCTGATGACCCAGTTCCCTACTCAAAGTGGCCAAAGGTTAGCCTTCAAAGTAGCTACTGTTTTTTCAAAGCAAGTTCACACTTAGGTATATCGCACTGATAAGAGATGCTCACTACAATTTACTTTTCGAGCTGTCCTGTAATTTGCAACTAATATAGAGTCTAGAAAAGAAACTTTAAGTCGGAGAGTTACAATAAAACCTGAAAGTGTCCATCGGGAGCAATAAGCTTTTGGTATGCAGATGCGCACACAGGCGCTCGCAGAAGACGTAACTTTCAGCCGCAGCTAGTTGGTCAGGCTGAACCAGTCGCCACGCTAAGTGTAGCTTTTGGAAGCGGAGCTCGAGTGCGATCGACCCCATTTTAGCGATCATCTGACCTTCAGGCCCGGACACGGCGCGGCGGCGGACGGGTGAATGCGACCCGGCCGCCGCGGCCGGCGCCGTCCGCGAACTGACGCAGCAGCTGCGCCACCGCCGCCGCCGCCGCGCCGCTAATGGAACAGAACCAAAAACGGACGCCTGCCAAGGCGCGACGAGCGCAGCGAGCTGCGCCAGATTGATTTACCTGTATGGCAGCGCTGCAGGGAATGTGACGGCTCCTTCTGAGAGAGCGCGGCTGTGATAGCCGGACCTGGCAGCAGCGGCAACTGGTTACCTGTTGACTCAGACACTGCATACTCTGCTTATGTTTGGAGGCAATTAAAGCAATTTGTGACGAAGCCGACATATACACAATGAAGGTAATAATCAAGTATCGATGGACTTTGCCAGATAACATTCGCATTCGCCGTGTCTTTCTCCTATTTTGAAAGAGGTGTTTACTGAAGCCATTCTGCAAAACCATTTCAATGTCGGGCAAATACTCGTAAATATTGATGTCAAAAAATGTCAGCTTGGCTCCTGTTGACCCCTGTTTTCATTTGAACTGGAGACTGATAGGACTGAGTCCCGATTCGACAAGGTATGTGCTCGGGAGCAGATTTAGCTATCAAAACTGAACGGCACTGTTGATTTGCTACTTTCCATGGATTGGTACGAATGCATAAAAATGGCGACAAAAACAGAGCTGAAAAGAACAAAAACGTGGCGCGGTGGGTTAACCCGCGCCCTGCTGGGGGGGGGGGGGGTGTTTGAACACCCCCCTTGTGGTTTTTCGCGAATATCTCAAAAACGGCGGCGCGGAGCGC